TCAGCAGGAGAGAGGGAGAGAGAACTTCATCAAAGGCAGGGAAATCACCAAAACCTTCTCTTTCAACTGCCTGATGAAACTTTAATAAGGGGATTGATGAAACTTTAATAAGGGAGCCCTGCTTCAGGAGCGTTACTCATCCGTGCTGGCGCAGGACTTCAGCCAGCCAAGCAACTGCGGCTCGCCTTGTGCTGCTGCTTTTCCTGGGCTCTTCGGGGAAATCGCATCCTCTCCTCCAAAATAAAGGAGTCAAATGAGAAGTAAACAACCTTTCTGCTCCTGTAGCCCATAGGAAATGAGTAGAAAGGTCCTTTTTCCAGACAACATTGGTTTTCATAAGAGTTAAAAAAGATGTTTAGTGGATTTTTCCCAAATGTAGGCAGCTGGAAGGAGTGCAAGACCCGGTGTTTAACCTAACCTAACCTCAGAGTCTGTGCTGATCCTCAAGGGAATAGGCAATTAACTTGTATTAAACACTTGAATTAGTTGGATACTGATTTTTTTTTTAAATATATATTTAATTTCCATTGTGACTGTGGCAGAATAATCTATTTTTCATCTATTAATGGTTGAGTGATCAAAACTTTAATATTTGTGGGGTTTTGCCTGCACGCCTGTTACAACACCTGCATATGAGCTAATTTAATTAATTCTTCTTGGCATTGACGAATACGGTAGAAATAATACAATGTTGTTTTGTGATGCTTACTGAAAATATTTGACTTCTGTTTTGCTGATGCAGAGAACTAATTTTCTTGGTGAATAACTGTTTAGAAAGAGTTAGGAGCAAAGCTGCCAACATTCAGTATACTAGAAAGCTTCAGGAGCCTGAATTAGCTGCAACAAAAGCAGGGGCTTTTCCAAAAACCCCTGACCCACCTTTTCCCCCCAACGTGGAGAGCAAAACAGCGCTTGGCATCTGGACTTTTTAGGTGTCCGAAGCCAAATCGGGATGGAAAAGCCTGGAGGCCTCATGGAGTTCAACAAGGCCAAGGGCAAGGTCCTGAGTATGGGTCACGGCAATCCCAAACACAAATACAGGCTGGGGGGAGAATGGATGAGAGCAGCGCTGAGGAGAAGGACCTGGGGTGTTGGGTGAGGAGAAGCTCAACACGAGCTGGCAATGGGTGCTGACAGCCCAGAAACCAACCCCATCCTGGGCTGCATCCCCACACTGTGGCCAGGGGGGCAAGGGAGGAGATTCTGCCCCTCTGCTCTGGTCAGACCCCCCCTGCAGGGCTGTGTCCAGCTCTGGCTCCACCAGCAGATGCCATGGAGCTGTTGGGGTCCAGAGGAGGCCATGGAGATGCTGAGGGGCTGGAGCAGCTCTGCTGTGGGGACAGCTGAGAGAGTTGGGGCTGTTCAGCCTGGAGAAGAGAAGAGAAGGCTGCAGGGAGACCTTAGAGCACCTTCCAGGACCTGAAGGGGACAGGAAAGCTGGGGAGGGACTTTTGACAAGGGATGGAATGATGGGACCAGGGGGGGTGGTTTTAAACTGGAAGAGGGGAGATTTAGACTGGATATTGGGCAGAAATCCCTCCCTGTGAGGTGGCGAGGCCCTGGCCCAGGTTGCCCAGAGAAGCTGTGGGTGCCCCCTCCCTGGCAGTGCCCAAGGCCAGGTTGGACAGGGCTTGGAGCAGCCTGGGCTGGCGGAGGGGTCCCTGCCCATAGGGGTTGGACTGGGGGATCTTTGAGGTCCCTTCCCACCCAAACCTATCCTACTGAGGAGGATTTTGTGTCTTTCCTCAGATCACCGCTCCTATTTGCCAAAATAATTTTGCAAAGAAAAACAAATTATAGATCGGTTTTCTCTTTGATGCTGGTATTTACCCAGCTTCTGTTTTCTACCCTGGGCAAAGCAATGGACATTAAAACCTGGCTGCTCATGGCCAAGTCCCTGTTTCTGTGCAGAGGTGCACGTAGGAGACCTCCTACAAACTCATGGAGCGCCTGAAGCGAGGAGCCTGATCAAACAGTGATTTTTTTTTGCAGAGCTACAGTTGGCTCTTGTTGCCTGAAGGATTTCCACATGAACTGAAAACATTTGCTAAATGACATAATAAGCTAATGATTGCTTAATTTTTGAATACATAGCTCAGTGTGGAGGGAGTAACAGCTGGTGTTTGTCAAATTAGGTTTTTTCCTTAAGATTTCTACTACTCGTTTGCTTGTTTATTTAACATACTTAGCCAAGATTGAGCTCTGAAGGTCTTCCCCCCAAGCCTGTTGCACTTCAGACCATATAATTCACCTTTAAGTCTATTTGGGCATAGATTTGGTGGACTTCTTTTGTGTTTCTTTGTGAAACCACTGGAAGTTTCTAGCATGGCAAGATGAAGGATGCTAGTATGTAAAATCTGTAAAGCTTGGGTGTCTGCATTTGTGTTACAGGAGAGAGAACAGGCAGATCACAAACGTTGGGTGGTTACTATGGCACGTAACAAAGAAATTCAGGTTTGAAACCAGACAACTTCTGTTCAGGCAAATCCAGAATAAGGGTGGTCATGCATTGTTATGAAGCTGCGGGAGCTGAAGAAAATGCCAGCCAATGTGTTAAAATACTTGAATTTTTTATTGAGTTGGGGTTTTTTTAATTTAAATTTAATAACTCTGCAAGGTTTATGTATGACCCACTGCTGTCTTGTCCCTCTAGGTTAAAATGATATGTTCACATATACGGGGTATTAGTATCTAGAAATGCACCAGTCACAAACGAGGACTTTAAGAACAAGGATTAGGAAAGGGGCTTGGGAAGTCCTTAGAAAATATAATATATTTGGAGTCTAGTGGCTCACTGAGGGTTATGTGCAAACAGTGGAGGCTGGGTGGGAAATGTGGCAGACTTTGGTTATGTCTTGCATTGTAATTCAGGATGCTGAAAACATCATCGTACGTAAATCTGCTGGTTTCTGACTAGAAATAACACCTGTTTTGTCTCACTCTTCCACAGGTGGTTGCCAGAACAGCCTTAAGCCGGTCGGTGGCAATCAGGCCCTGGCCTTGGCCACCGCAGCCACCACAGCCATGGTGGCGGTGGAGCCCGAAGTCCCCCAGGGAGCATCGGCACCCAGCATCCAGCCCTGCCACGTCCTCACCTTCTCCCCCATCAAAATCCCGGTCTTGGCATCGCCGTTTCCAGGTAGGGTCACTCCTGGTGACGTTAAAGAGCAGCTTTTAATGTTAATTTGACACAGGGAGAGGCCTATGAGCATGCATTTTAATGTGCTTTGGTACTGGGGGATATGGTTTATAATTATAAAATATCCCAGAAGAATGTAGCCGTGGTTTTGTATGTTTTCTGATAGGTTTAGATATGGTTTCTTACTGGAAAAAATGGTATTTCCTTAGCATGGCTGTGTGTAACAACTTTCTATGGCAGCACTGGCATCCCTGGCTGGCTGGGGAAGTCTGACTGATTTCAGGTCTTTCGGGTAATTTGTGAAGCCGTTCTGTGAATGCTTAAGGCTATATTTAGAAATGTTATATACCAATGAAGTTAAAAATTTAAATTAGGGTGCGTTTTCCATCTTTTTGGTACTTGAAGTATAGCACAGCAAGATACAGAGAGATTGAACTTTGCAGAAGGTCCACGGTTATGGTTTTTGGTGTTGAGATGAAATCTTCTGATGAGAAATGCGTCTCGGTAATTATTGTTCCCGTTGAGCAGCCATCAGAACCACCCAGATAAACACCTGCTGGGGGTGTGCGGTGGTGGTTTTGTGTTTGGGGAGGATGAAGTGACCTGTGGGAATAGAAGTTCAAGTATTTTGAGCTTTGTCGGGAAGGGGTGGTGTTGGAATACGAACAGAAAGCGGAGTTGGTCGCTGTGGTAGGGCAGGGGGTTGGTGGAGTTACCTGACCCACAGAAACCAATTTAGAGGAGAATCCAAAGCTGGAAAAACCCCAAATAATTCTTTATCTGTGCTGTACAGCAGAATTGCATCCCAGCTGTGCTCTGCCTGAGTTGAGGTGCTGGGACGAGCTGGGACCGGTGATTTACAGCCATGAGGGTGAGCACTGTGTGAGGTCATGGTCGGGTGTGATAATGCCCATAACAGGCTCTGCTCCACCACAATAAACACGTCAGGTCATGATAAACACGTCAGCCCATGACAATTGCTGCTTTCCTTTGGGGTGAGTGCATGATGGGCTATCAAATCCCGCACTGAGCAGTCATCCCATTCGCATAAGCCACGCACTTTGAGGTGTTTCCTCCTACAGAATATACTCTATATGTATGAGAAGATACAGGATCTACAGCAGCTTTTGAGAAGAGAAAGCTTGGAGCTGCCTGATCTGTGTACAATAAACTTGAGCTCACTGTTTGTCTCTATTAATCACCCTCTCCGGAGGGATGGCCAGCGGCTTTGCAAAGCCTGGCATAAAATGTATTACGAAATTATGAAATTCCTTTTTATTGTGCTGTTGGAGTCAAGGATGTGAAGGTGCTGGGCTGAGATTATCACAGTCAACACTGGTGTGATGAATGGCTTCCTCAGCTGGGGATTTTGGGTGCTTTTCGGTGCCCTTCGGGTGCTTTTGGGTGCCCTTGGGGCTGGCATCCTCTGCCTGCACCCAGACTGTCACCCTGATGGCTTCTCAGTTAAAAACATCCATGCACCAGTGTTCATTGAAGATAACTTATTATTCTCAAAGAGAAATACATCTTGGGGAGAATATAATCTGTGCGCCCTGTGGGCAGCTGCGTTTTTCTTGGTCCATGTGTGATTTATAAAGTAACGTGGCAATTAATGGACTTTCCGTGTTCTTCTTGTTTAACATTTACGCAAGGCAGTGTTCACATAACAGAAGTGAACTTAGGAAGTGAAAAATTAAATGATTTCCAACTTAAATCTACACGTACCTTGGTGCCCGTAAGGCTGAGCGTTGTGTGCTTAGCTGTACACTGTAAATTGATTACGCTGGAGATCGGTGGTATAACACCGCCTTGTAGCGCTGTATTTCTAATCACGGCGGTTTGTTCAATCAATAATCTTATAATTGAATATTTACTTTCAAGGAGGCCTTTTATTGTGATGAGTTCTGCAGCCCTACAGTTCGGCTGTGTTAGTTTCTCCCAGCCTAATCAGTAAACTCATTGAGTTAGGAGGAAATAACCTGTTAATGGAAGGAGCGGTAACTGGTGCTGGCTGAGACAGGACCCGGACTCTGGTGGTTTTCCAGCCTTGTAGAGGGAATTTCTTGAAGCAGATCCCTGGGTCCCGTGAATTACAGTGAAATTCAAGTATGTAGGATACAGCGGTCACTTTAGGGTTCCTTTTAATGCAATTTATTTTACATTTTGTAAAGGAAAATCAGCAGCAGAGCTGTCATGGATTACCAGGTATTCTATACCAGATATTTACCATTCAGTACCAGTCCCGTGGTGGTCAGTTTTGTGACACAGTTGTGAGGTGTTTGTACAATTGCCACATTCTGTTTTCTGACACCAGAACGTAGGATTCTGTGTTAATTCATCGTAGCCTTTTCCCACAAACTCCAAGCGTGCTGCACTGACACCATGTTTGTTAACAAAAGTATCATTTTTTTTCTCCCCAATATTTGTAAACGGTGTTAAACGTTCAATTTTCCTTCGTTGTCAGGGTCATTGCTGTGCTTGTTTTCCTGTATTGAGGTTTTATTGAGTTTAACGAGGTGTCTGTTGCCATTCCCCTATGGTGAGCTCTGCATCTGCCACACTAAAATGCGGGTCCTTGGAGAACTTGGCTAGAGCGGTTTTCCTGGTTTTAAACTGGGAAGAAATAAGAACTATATGGTGTCTTCCATACAGTATAGAGAGCAGTGCCAGCTAAAATGGCTATGTAGCCATCCTCTAATGACAAATATCATGGATATTATTAGAAAGTGGGTAAAGCTGTGTTCATCCATCGTCATGGATCATTCATCCATCTCACAAACACTCTCTAATGGGCTTTAGTCCTTAGTGTCTGGTGGAAACAAATTAATTTTCAATACTTTAAATGCCATTATCCCTGGAAATAAATAAAAAAAACCTCCCATCCTTAAGCAGAGGGCGGCCGGCTGGGTGTTGACACATGGCACCATGACCATTGGGATGCAGCTCCTGCTTTCGGAGAGTCTTGCACCCCCAAAGGGGTTGGACCTTCTGCTCTTCTGTTCAATGATCCTGTTGCTCGTCCTCTTTCTAGAGAACCTTGCATTTTAAAGTAAATTATTTGCAAGCAGCAAACGTGTCGTAGGTGTGTGTATAGCCACGGGAGCAGGGAAGCATCACTGGAATTCAGTTCCCCTCCCCAAAATGGGTTTTGTCCCAGTGCAGAGATGGTCCATGCTGGGACAGCCTTGTCTTGGGGGTCTGCATGGGAGCTTTCCTAAAATCAAACCCAATTCCCCGAGATGGAGCGGTCAAACACCACACAACAGGAAAGGTTTTAGCACAAGATTTGTGTTTTCTGTGAGCATGGGGTCAACTGCGCTCCCATGGATGAGCCAAAATGGAGCAGGCTCCAGCAGAGCTATTGGAGCCCTGTTTTGTGTTTATTTGTTCTTTTTTCCCTTTCTCCTTTTTGCATCCACTGGCGGATCTGCTCATACGTGGGCCAGGCAAAACGTTCCCTTCAATATTTAATGTCAGCCTCGCTGTTAACTCAGATCTTGTGCCAGATTTAACATAAAGACTGAGTGGGGGCCTGTGGAGATGCAGCTACGCGGTGAGCTGGGCTGCGTCTCCGTGCTCGTTTGCTGGTACGGAGAAAAGTTCATTTTCCAGCACTATCAAGCCAAGTCTTTGAAGAGAACCTTATCTTAGAAAACCTAAAATAACGATAAACTTCTTGAATATAAACAGTTAAGTGGAGTAATTGAGGTACCAGCTCTCTGCTAGTCTCTAATACCACTTTTATGGCTACTCTACTAAGAATCGGGGTATTTCTTTTCTTACCCTCACATACAATTTCTTAATTATTCGAGTGCGAAAGGTAAGCTATGAGCCTGTGGTTATGGACTCTGTAAATTAGCAGTGAGTACAAATATTAAAAAAGGCACCATCTGCCATATAAACCATTTGCCACCTGTTCCCTTGCTTTCAGAATTATTTAATGGTTGGATTTTAATGTTTGAGCCTGCCACAGAACAGCTGGGAAGTGACTAAGTATTTTTCCTATCAGTACCTTAACGGCCCAGCACCATTCTGTGTTGAAAACTGCTCTTAAAGCCAGCGTTTTCCTGCATGCTTTTTTGTGTGTCTGTCAGCTTGCTTCATTAGCGGGTGCTGCTGATATAAACTGCGCTTTCAGAACAACAATTACTCAGTTATTTTGGTGGTTTTTGAATCCTGCAAAACCCCTACGCTCAGCCTTACATCTGCCCTCCCCAAGTTCTTGGTGGCTCAGCGAGATGCTGGGATGAGGAGATTTGTCCGACCTCGGTGGAAACGGCACTTTTCTTTCTTAACAAGATGAATTTAAATTTTTAAAAGGAATTCAAATTTTTAAAAATAATTTAAATAGTAAAAAGAACTTATTTTTTAAAAATAATTGAAATTTTAAAATTTCAAAAGTAATTTAGAATTTTAGAAGTTATTGAAATTTTAAAAACAATTTAAAATTTGAAAAGTAATTTAAATGTTAAAAAATAATGTAAATGAATTAATTAAAATATTAAAAAAGTGGTGATTTTCCTTGTGCATTGGTTATTTGAGCCAGTCTAACCTCTGTGTGTAGCTGAACTCCTAGATTTTAGGTGAGCAATAAGTAGCGTTTTTGGAAAAGCCGATGAACAAATTGCACTTTTCCAACCCAAAACGTGATGTTCCTCCTTCCTGGAACATCCTTTCCTGTGCATCCTGTGTGGCTTGCACTGAAACAGCCTTGACTTGGAATACGGAGCGGCTCTAACAAGCTCATTGTAAATGATGTGCCCAGCTTTAATGCTGTGTAACGAAGCAAGCAAATGAATGTTTATAGTTATTAAAGTGATAACTTCCTACTCGAGCGGGCAGTCGCCATCAGATTTCCTCTGTGTTTCATATCTGGGGTGGAGCGTGCAGGGAGAGTGTGCGTGTGCAGTGGGTTTCTGAGCTAAAGTATTGCCAGAGATGGTGTTTAAATATCAATTTTTGGGGTAGTAAATCCCTGCTGGAAACGGCGAGCACTTGGC